ACTTGCTGTCCCCAGAGGTCTGCATGCCTCCCGGCCTTCCTCTTTCAGGTCTGTTCTCAGATGTCCTCGAGTCTAAGTGCTGACCACCAGTGTAAAAACAGTGCCCCTCCCCAGGTGCTCCCAGCCCCCTTCCCTGGTTTTATTTATTTTTCCACAGCACTCCTCACCTAAGGTAATTTACTTTATCACTCTTCTCTGTCTTGAGACTAGAATGAAACATTTGTCTCCTTATCTCTTAATCCTCAACACATGTAGTGCCTGGCACACAGTAGGTGCTTAATAAGTATGTACCAGCCCAGTAGATGAATCCTTCTGTCACCTTCAAGTTGTGTGACCTTAGGTAAGTTAATTGTCTGGACCTCAGTGACCCAGTTTCTGAGACAGGTAGAATGGACTGATGGGGGAAAGGGAAGAAACGTGATTTGAAACAGGTGCCCCATTGCTCAATAAATGTGCAGAATGAGATTAAAACCTGGCTCACCTCTGACCCCAGGCCTACAGACTGGTGGTAATCAGACCAGGGCTGAGCTTAAATGTGATTTCTGGGTCTCAGTGATACCTGACTGGCCCGGTGGGCTTCCCTGGATTTCCCTTATTCCCACCTGGAGAGCCCCTGGAGGCCTGTCAGTGAGCCTCATCCTTGGCTCCCCCTATCACCTATACTTCCCCAGACCCCTGCTGGGAGTCCTCTACCCACTGTCTTCTCCAGTCTCCTTCTCCCACTCCTGTTTATTATTTAACACTGGAATGGTGTCTGAACACATGCTTTGCATGAAAGCAGCATTCAGATGGTGCTCAGCAAACAAAGGGCTGACCTGTCCAGACCCAGGCTCTCCTGACCACAGCCACACCTCCTCAGGAAGCACTGGGCCCTCTCAGACCTGTGAGCACACTACCCTGCCCCACAGAACTTTACACCAGCCAAGCAAGGGAAGATCCTGTCTACCTTGGGTCAGGATTCAACTCAGTGGAAGCTGGAGTCAGATCCCAGGGGAGCAGGAGCCTGCTGGCCAGGCAGTCTCCTCTGTTGGTTGCTCCCTCAACATTTATGGAGTCATTGCTGGGTGCTGCCACCATGATCCCCTGTAATCCTGCCTATCCAATCTGATGGAACAATCCAAGGGTTTGAGGGCCATGCAGACTTTGGTCTGAATCTGAAGTTGCCACTCCATTCATGTCATTTGGTACATACATGCAAGGTACTGTGCTAGGCAGAGGCAAGCAGGGCTTCTCTTGAATCTAAGTTAGGTGGAATTGAATTGTGGTAAGTTCTTTGTAGGCGGTGAGCCTGCGTTCTCCTCTCATGGGTGGGCAGATCCTGGCCTTGGAGTGCTGTCATGTGATTCTCTGTGATAATACCTGTGGAAGGGCCCTGGTCAGATAGGGGTTTCTTCCTCCTTTTGGCAGATGTGAATGGCAGCCCTCCTGAATCTAGATCCCTCTACCCCACTGACCCGGGACTGCCCATAAGAGCTCCCAAGGGGAGTAAGAGAGGCCCCTAGAACATGTAGAGGGCTCTGTTGTTTTGGGAACAAGCCACCCCACCACCATCCCATCTCTCTACCCCTTGGGACACACTCCCAGAATCTCGACACTGATGACAAACCTTAGGCAGGTCACAGGACCTGTCCTGGTACTGCTATTCTGCTCACTCCCATTTTCTCCAAGAGGGCTGTTGGTTCAAAAAAGAGAAAACTGGGCAAAGTCAATCTCACAGGAGGAGGGCTTGGTTTAGGCTCATTCTTTCTTTCATTCACTCATTCATTCATTCAACAAAAACTTAAGGAATGTGTACCAGGCATCATTCCAGGTATAGAAGATACACCAGAGAGTAAAAGACAAAAATACCTACAAAGTACATAAAGTGATCGATTATATAGCACATTGGTGGAGCAGAGCAGTCCAGGTGTCAGGACCAGCAACTCTAAAATCCCAGAGCTGAGAGTGTGAACTCCAGGAACAGTGAGGGACAATGTGGTAAGTGGGGTTGATAGGTAGGACATGAAGTCAGGGGTAGGGGGAGCTGATTGTTCAGGGGATCTCATCATCATCCACTGGGAGTTTTCCTTCTTTTGATCACTCAGAAATGGGGGGGGGGGATCATGTCCCTGCTTTCTAGGAGGGAGCCTCTTCACACTCCCTCTGACAGTCTTGGCCTTGTGGGGTAGCTGTATGGAGGAGGTGGCTAAGTCAGGATGTGATGGGGACTGTCTTGGGCTTAGGGTCAGGAGACTCTGTGACAGGGGTTGAGGGAGTCCTTAGCAGGGATTTGGGCTCTTCTGTCACTGGCCTTAATGGTGTTCACAGTGGGTGTCTCCTGGTTTACCCAGAAGCTTCTAGACTGAGTGACCCTGGTTCCCAGGCCAGATAATTGAACAGAGACTAAGTAGCCTTATAATATAAATATGGGGAGACCACAGTCCAAAGAGGAGCTGGGCTGCCTGGAACCTTAGGGATTCCTTTCTAGTAGAGAAGCTGTGGTTGGGGCCAGTTCTGGGCAGCATGCTAAGGAGTCTGGGAAGGCTGTAAGATGCTTCTTGCTGGTGGTTCCTAAACATGGCTGTGAAAATGCAGATTCCTAGGCAGCAGGAACAGCCTGTACAAAGACTCTGCTCAATCCTATTGCTTAGTTCTAGACTAGAGCCCTGGAATTTATTTTTTAACTTGAGTACCAATAATAGGTTGGAAAGTAACTCTTAAGGCCACTGAGGTACCAGCCCCTTCAGGCAGAGGCCACCAGACCCTTCACAGAACATCTGGAGGCTCAACAGTGGCATCATGTACCCCTTCTACCCCCGGGCCAGAGGGGGCTGGGCTGAAGAAGGCACTCAAACCCGCGTGTGCGGCTTGCCACCCACCTTCTCCAGCAAGACCCTAGGGAAGGCGAGAGAGGAGGCACCCTTTCCCACCTGGCAAGTAATTATGAACGGAGTGGGTTGGAGTTGACATATGGATACCTTAGTGGGGGGATGGTGAGTCAAGAGTTCACTGAGCCACAAAACCCAAGCGTGATAGAAGTCGTGGGGTGAGCTCCTGGCACAGCAGAGAGCTTTAGAAAGAGGAAGTGGAGGTGGCAGCCCGGGAGAGTTAAGACCGACTGACTGGCAGGAGAAAGTGGGTCGAGCTAGGTCTGACATATCTGCGTGATCCCTGGCGCGGTAAATCGGGTGGATGGACCGACACGTGGATGGGTAGAAAGGTGGGTGGATGGAGAGACCGGATGGATGGATGAATGAATGAATGGCTGCGTGGGCGGCGAAGGCCTGGGGAGGGGCGGGCCTGCAGAACGCTCAATCACAACCCCGCGGCTCCGCGTGGCGCCCGCCAGCTGCGCTCAGAAGCCCCATTACCGCGGCCCCGCCCTGGGGCGGGTAATTACGTGCCCCCCGGGGCTCTGGAATAGCTGGGGGACCAGGACTAAGAGGGGCCGCGCCCGGCCCCGCCGCCAGGTTCCACGCGCCCATTTTGGCGCGCCGGCAGGCCGCCCCTCAACCCCGGGGCGAACCTGGAGGCGCAGTCGGGGCCCGAGGCCGGGTCCTGTTCTTTGTCTCGGCCTAGTCTTTTCATTGTAGCTGAGCCGCGTCCCTCCTCTCCGGACAGCCCTTGCCGACCGCTACTGGGCTGTCCCAGGATCTCCCAGTTTCAGTTATCGCTGCCTCTTCCACCCCCAGCCCGTGGTGTCTCCCCCAACCAGACAGGAACTCAAACCCTGTCCCTTCAGGACTGCAGGGCCAGGAAGTAGCAGGATCTCTAAGCTGCGTCTCCGATGCGGCGAAGGGAGGCGGGGGATAGAAGGCCCCCTCTTCTCCGCCTTCTCTCCCCGCCCCACCCCCTCACTACTACACGTCTCGCTGCGCCCCGACCCCAGCACCGCCTGTTCGCGCCTTAAGGGGCTCTTCTACCGCCGTGCGATCCCCGACGCCTTGAGGGCGAGCCCCCACCTGCCGGACCTGAGACCCTACGCAGAACGCAGCCGCACACGCGACCGCCTGCAGACACCCACCACAGCCTCTTGCCAGCCCAAAGCCCCTCACAGGCGCACTCCCCCCTACATGCGCAGCCCCACAGCCCCACGCAACCCAACTCGCTTGCAAACAGGCCCACACGGACACACAAGTCCCTGCGAACACTGAACCCCACACAGGCACAATCCCACCCATGTAGTACCTCACGCAGTCACACAATCCTCCTATAAACAATCGCACGCAGACACACAACCTCACGCAGGCACATCACTCAGTACCGCTGAGACCCAGAAACACATTCACAAGCTTGTATCCAGAACCCCCCCCCAAAGCCCCGTGACATTCACTCGTAAAACAGACCAGAAATACACAGTCACACTGATGCACACACGGACCTATGCACAGCCAACATCTCACCCGCGGGCTCGTAAGTCACAGGAAAAATATTAAAGCTCTCCCTCCCTCTTCTCTATCTTTGACATATACAGGCCCGCGCGCGTGCGCGCACACAACACACACACACACACACACACAGACATTCCCACTCACACCCCCGGGTCCCAGAGGGCCTCCGAGCCTAGCAGCCGGTGACCCCGAGCACCCACGGTGAGAGCCGCGGGAGCGTCTCCCCGGCGCCCCCTCCTC